CTCTTTTTCCCTCCCTTCCCCTTTCTAAAAATAAATAAAATGTTAAATAAAAAAATAAATAAAATCTAAAAAAAAATTTTTTAATGGGGGTTTATTATACTATTTATTCTCTCTCCTTTGGTATATATTTGAAACTTTCTCTAATAAGAAAACATTTAAGGCATATGCATATATACTCACTGTCATGGACTGAATGTTTGTGTCTCCCAAAATGTGATGGTTTGAAGAAGTAATTAGGTTTAGATGACCTAATTTCACCGTGTGAAATTAGGTTTAGATGAAGCAGAGCCCCTGTGACAGGATCAGTGCCCTTGTAAAAGGAGACCAGAGAGCTTGCTCTCTTTCTCCCTGACATGTGAAGATACAGCAAGAAGCTGACTGCAAGCCAGGTGGAGAGCTCTCACCAGGAACCAAATAGGCCCACAGCTTGATCTTGGCCTTCCCAGCCTCCAGAATTGTGAGAAATAAGTTTCTGTCACTTAAGCCACCCAGTCTGTGCTCTTTTGTTATAGCAGCCCAAACTAGCATACTTGGACACCCTTCAGTTCTTCCCATTCCCTTCAGAATAAAGACCAAAATCTTAGACACACCTTACCAAGGCTCCGCAGGTCCTGGGCCCTCCCTACCTCTCTAGCCTTATCTTACATGGCTCCCCTCCTCACGCTGCCTGTCAGCCTCCTACACCTTCTGTCACAGCTTGGAGTCTCCATCAAGCTCCCTCTCACCAAAAGGCCTTTCTTTGCATGTGCTGTTCTAACTGGAAAAAAACACACCACCCTGCTCATCCTCACCACCTTTTACCTAAGTAACTCTGACCCCCAAGTTTCCATTGAAACATCACTTCCTCAGTAAAGGCTTTTAGTACTGTGGTGGCCATGTCCTGACCTGCCTGGCACAGTCTCAGATTACCCCCTGCTCCTTTCAGCCTACAGCTCTCCCTTTCCCTCTCAAACTACCCCAGCTGAGATGACAAATCCCATGGTCACCCCATCCGTAAGGAAGCCCTCCATCACAGGGGCCAGGTGCCCTTTACTGTTCTCACAGTTCTTTGCACCTTGCCCTCACTACCTTGAAGTTTACATTAACACATTTCTGAGGATTACTATCCTTGACCCTCATTAGAGGAGGTGAACTTTGGTTGCTGACACTGTTTTTTGGTTTACTCATGGTAGTGTCAACATCTCTCACACAAAATCACGTTATATGCCTGGCACGGAGTAAGCACTCATATTTGCTGAATGTGTGCATTTCCGTATCTTCCAGGCTAATTTACTGAAATACTCTGTACTCCCTCACCTTCAAACCCACTTCCAAGGTGGAAGCCTTGTGTTTGTTCTCCTCAATCCTGAGCTCCATGAAGAGATTATGCTGAAAGAGGAGGGGAGAGAGGAAAGGCAGGGGAAAGTACTGGGACTTCGAGCATCCAGGCCTAGGAAGGACACGAGGCTGCAGGTTACATACACAGTGATGACCTGTGGTTTGTCCCCCTGGTGGGCACTCCAGTGCCCTGTAGAACCTGAGGGGGAAGTTCCACAGCGAACACCCTCTACAAGCCATGCCGCTTGCCGTGGCTGTCAGGTTGACAGGTGACCTCTTATACCCAGGACTAGAGAGCAGAAGGGCCTCCTGTCCACCCTCCAGAACAAGGGTCCTCAAATGAGGGCCTGTCCTACTCATCTCATGGCTAGTATCCAAAAGCTCATGGCAGGTTCTGAGTCTGCTGAAAGTAACTAAAATAATGATGTCAGGCTTCAACTAGTCTAGTCCAGCTCCTCGTAGTGGACGAAGCTCCACCTGCTGGCCTCTTTGGTAACTGCAGACTGCTTTTAAGCAGGCTCTGCAGGGAGCACAGGGTGTGAGAACTCAGTGGTCATTAGGAACTTTGCTTTCCTGGCAGCTATATTATCACCAGAAACATTGCACTTAACTATCAACCCCTTAAAATACCCAAGGGCACAAAATAAAGTACTAACCTCTGACTCTGGTATCACAGGTCATTGTCATCGAACCTTCAGTCAGACTTAGCATTATGTTGCCCTTACCTTCCACACACCCTCTTGATCCATCCTAAGGGCCCTCTTCCCCCACTGGAAAGTCTTCTTTGCATGGTATGTACCTTCCTCATGCCTAGTAAGCTGTTACTCTCCTCAGAACCCTGGGTCAAGGTCAGCCAGCTCTCTTCTTGCTTGTCCCCTTTGGGGAGCTACTCTGTCCCTTGATGACAGGACTCGGCACGCTGTACAGAACTGTTCCCATGTCCAGCTTCCCCCATTACACACCGAGCTCTTTGGGAGTTCCATGGCTGGTACATGGCAGGCAATATGGAATACAGGTGCACTGATTTGAAGACATAGGGAGACCCGGGCTCTGGTCTCAATGTGCCACTGTCACAGTTTTATCAACCCTAAGCTAGTCATTTGCTACTCAGCTATTCCCCTCGTTCTCAATGAGGGGCGATTTTGCCTCCAGGGGATATCCAGCATACCTGCAACACTCTGGGATGTCCAAACTGGGGGATGCTACTACCATCTAGGAGTTAAGAGGCCAGGGATGCTGCTACACTTGCTCCCACACAAAGGATAGTCCTTCACAACAAAGAATTATCTGGTGCAAAATGGCAAGAATGCCGAGGTTGAGAAAACCCGACTTAGTTCACACCAGCCTAACATAACAGGGCTGGCTTGCAGTGGGAACAAACAGTGGAAAACACAAGCCTATGAGAGTGTGTAGTAGTCTCCTGCCATATGCCATTGTGAGGTACACACTGCAGAGGGCATGAGCCATCAAATATGGGATTCACTTAACTTTCGGACTTCAGCAAATATGGGATTCACTTAACTTTCGGACTTCAGCCGTAGTGCCAGAACCCATTAGCAACAGGTGGGAATTCCAGATCCCTCACAAAACTAGTTTCTAAGAAATAAAACCAATTTTGTATATCAACCTTTGGCATCATGAATGAAAATGACAAGCAACAAACAAAACCCATTACCAGGATTATAGCAATGAACTCTGATACGACTTGAGCCTCTGCTGCAACAGCATGTTGCACATCACAAGGACACCAAGGAAAATCGTTTCAGAAACTTTTATTGGGCAAGTGGCAGTCTCGGAGTGCTTATGGCATGTCAGGAACTTTGCTAAGTGCTTTAGATAAATTATCAGTCCTTTCGACCCTCCAGAGTAGTCAGATTTTACAGATAGGATGAAAAAATACTCTCACTTGAAATATGAGAAAGTAGACTCAGACGTTAGGTAATTTCCTAGTAAATGCTTTTAGACAATTTGCTAAACTGCCTCATCTGTGGAACACCTTAACTGCATATATGTAGCAGGTTCAGATTTGCAAAGCCTAAGGGGAAGGCAAGTCTGTTAGGTTAAAACAAAACAAACAAAACACCACCAGGAAAGGCTGTATTTATAAAATGCAAAGGAAAAAACAGTAAGCCACAGCTTCCTTTTTATGATTTTTCTTTAAAAATCCTCACCCGAGGATATATTTACTGATTTTGGAGAGGGGAAGGGAAAGAGACAAACATGGAAGTGAGTAACATCGATCAGCTGCCTGCCTTCTGCACAACCCCAACCAGGGAGTGAACCCACCACCTCTGGTGCGTGGGATGACGCTCTCATTTGGCGAGGCCAGGCCATAAACAATCAACAGTAAACTTACAAATTATTCATTTAAGAAGAAAAGGTAACAAAGCTTTCCGGTCAGCCAGCTTAGCCTGGGAGTTACATCTCCGCCCAGTGGTCTTTCTCATCACCTCCACTGTGACTGGTGGTGGCGGCTCTGAAGGGCGCACGTCAATGGCTCCCATGGACCAACTAGAGACACAATAATCCTGTTCGGATGCTCCCCCAAACCCCCTCTACTCAAGTGTCAGCACACACATACAGGTGCCCTGTAAATTCACCCAACTAATGTAACCTAATTCCTACTGAGGATTGAGATTATTAGTTTTTCTTCTTTTGCTTTTTTCATCAGTGATTCCCCCACCATGTAGGAGTTAAATTATATTCCATATTAAGATGAAAAGACCTGAAAAACAAACATTTGCAATCTAAGACATGGGCAGACTACTAAAGCAACCCAAATGTGTACCAGTAAGTTCCTGGTTGAAGTGCCTTACACTGTTTCCATGCAATGGGGTGCCACGCAGCCACTGCAAATAAGCTGTTGTGTTCGGTCGTGAGATGAGCTCCCCAACTGCAAAATACCGTGTACAGTGAACCGTCCCACTTGTGTAAAGGTGAGAGGGTGCACACAGTACAGACAAACTCTAGGAGACACATGAATCAAACCCCCCCAAAATGGGTCTAAGAGATGGCAATTTAATTTTCACTTTACTCATTTAACAAGTACAGTAGCAAATGAACTATGAGAAAGAAAAAGTATCAATTCATTTCTTTCCAAATACTCTTAGATCAGCACATTTCAACACTGCTTGCTTTTTAGAATCACCTGGGCACTAGCACTCAGCCCCAACAGAGAACACCAGGGTCTGACTCAACCAGCCTGGGGTGGGCCCCTGGACACCAGTGTTTTTAAAAGTGCCCCCAATCAATTCTGATTTTCAACCAGTGTTATGAAATCACCGATCTGTACCAAGGGTTAGCAAACTTTTTCTGTAAAGGGCCAGATGGTAAATACTGCAGGCTTTGTGGGTCACATGAGATCGGTCATAGTCTTTTTCAAAGCCCTTCAAAACCATAAAAACCATTCTTAGCTCCCAAGCAATACAAAGACAAGCTATGGACTGGATCTGGCCCACAGGCCACTGTACCAACCCTCAATTTAGCCCCCACACCAGCTGAATTATTGCTTGGAAAAAGCACCATGAGACAAGGTATGGCCAAGAAAAGCCAAAGCTGTGGCCAAGAAGGCTCCGCAGTGAACTCACAGGTCTGACCCCAGCCCTCTAACTGGCACCCAAGTTGTTCTGGTTTGAATAGGAGGTGGGAGGGCTTCAGGCTCACAATAAAACTCCCAAGACACATTACAAACCAACCAGTTTATTATTTTATAGTAAGATGTATAATTTTTACCATGCAGACTGAGATACCCACGTCAGCATGAACAGTACACTTCCTTCCTAGAGGCAGTTACATAGAAAACAAGGTTATTATCAGATTATTTCACAAGTGTGAAATCCAAACTAGGGAAGGTTAATTTTAAGACCTACACCTTGTCCATGAAACTGAGCACGCCTTCCCACCGCAGGGACAGCCCAGCCTTCAGTCTGTGGACTCTGCCTTCCCATCTGGCTCTGATTGAGCACTGCCAACACGCCCTGCAGCTTTCCGGTCGGCCAGCTTAGCCTGGGAGTCACATCTCCGCCCAGTGGTCTTTCTCATCACCTCCACTGTGACTGGTGGTGGCAGCTCTGAAGGGCACACGTCAATGGCTCCCATGGACCAACTACGAGACACAATAATCCTGTTCGGATGCTCCCCCAAACCTCCTCTACTCAAGTGCTAGCACACACATACAGGTGCCCTGTAAATTCGCCCGACTAATGTAACCTAATTCCTACTGAGGATTGAGATTATTAGTTTTTCTTCTTTTGCTTTTTCATCAGTGATTCCCCACCATGTAGGAGTTAATGAAACTAATTTTTGTCACCACTGCTACCAAGACAGACATACCAAGTGGTTAAATTGTTATTTTTTCCCTCTGAAATGTTAAAAAAGAAATCAGATGATGCAGTCCTGATTACCACTGTTAAGGGTCAATTCATCAAAACAACCCTTTGAATAAAAAGTTTATGCTTTCGAATTAAAAAACAGATGTTGCAAATATCACTATATAGTAATAAAATAACAGAAAACAAAATATTCAGACTGACTCTATGACACTCACATTACACCATTATTTTGCCTGTAACAATACAGCGAATTTTATCCCCCAAAGTAGCTAAGTTCATGCTGGCTGGACCCCAGGAATGAGGATGAACTACACCACACATGCTTATACACATATACATTAACCATTCTTAACCGCCCCTCACCAGGGCTGATGGGGAGGAGGGACGAAATGCAGACACTTGCACTCATACAGGCAGACTTCTCTGATCACAGAAGTTCATACACATGACTTTTATCATGTCTCGGGCAATAGCTTTTATCTGTGGGAACACACCTCTGAAAATCACAACAAAAAATCAATAGGAAGTGATTTAATTAATATAAAATATACAAATTTCTCAGTATGAAGACTTCCACAGAACAGTGAGAAGGGGATGACAACTAAATTTTTCTTTAAAAAGAACACACCTTGTCCTTGCTACTCAACACTCAAAACCAAATCTGTACAAAACTACGAACATAGAAAAAGACCAGGGAGGATGTTCCGATGCAGTCCTAGGACCGACTCTAGACCCCGTCCTCATCAATACCCCCCTAACAGAGCTGGGAGCTCCCAGGTCCATTGGGGAAAAGTCAGTAGCCTTGGATCATCACCCTGCTTCACTACTAGGATGGCCCTCAGTCACTCGCTGTCAAATTTAATTGAATTAACCTGGACAGAGATGGAGCCTCCTCTGTAGCTGCCCCGCTTCTTCTTGGTCTTCTCATGCCGGAAGGATTTGCCTTTGGTGAACTTCAGGACCTGATTGGCTCGTTCCCCCCAGTCTCCAGCTGCACCTCGCTGGTGAGTAGAGAGAGGTGCTTCACACAGAGAAGGACATCAGAGCCCTATTACATTACTCTCCCTACTCAAGGCCTAAACCCAGAGAACTTCCTACTAGTCTGAAGCAAAACTGCCCATCACCCCCCGCACCACCTCTTCACTGAAGATTGGAGAACTTGCCCTGACTGGTATGGCTCAGCTGGTTGGGCACCTTTCCATGAATCGGAAGGTCGCCAGTTTGATTCTAGGTCAGGGCATATGCCTGGGTTGCAGGTTCAATCTCGGGTTGACAGCATGTATGAGAGCCAACCAATCAATGTTTCTGCCCTTCTTTCTCCCTCTCTCCTTCTCTCTAAAAATAAAGTTTAGAAAAGGGGTAACTCCCTCCCTCCTCACCTTGGCATCAAAGGAGTTGTCTGCCACCCGAGCATCCACCTCAATGTCCTCCTCCCTGACCCTTCGGAAGGGGGAGGACGCCCTTTTTTCTGCCTGGAGGAGACGAAGTACAACATTAAAGATGGAGTGGCTGCGTAACAGAGAAGCCCTCCCGTGACACACACACACACACACACACACACACACACACACACACACACACACGTGCGCGCCAGGCCAAGCAGAGTGCTGTCACGATGATCCTAGAGTCTTCTTCCTGCTCTTTAAAACATCCCATTCTCTACCTTCTCCTTTGTCCAAATACATCTTATATGCCCAATGTTGCCTCCATCTTTGACACTTTCATGTCTATGTGAATCTACCATGCACAGGTATTAAAATTTTACTTCTTCCTGTTAAAAAGCAAATTAAAAAAAATAGCCCTGCCTGGTATGGCTCAGTGGATTGAGTGCTGGCCTGTGATGCAAGGGGTCACTGGTGAATTACCATTCAGGGCACGCCCCCCACTGGGGGGCGTGCGAAAGGCAAGCAGTCAATGGATCTCTCACACACCCTTCTTTCCCTCTCCCCTTCTCTTCCCAACTCTCTAAAAATAAGTAAGACCTTTTAAAATATTATAAAACAGAGGCTAGCTCCTGCCCTGGTTGGTGTGGCTGTTGACTGAGTGCTGGACTGTGAACCAAAGGGTAGATGGTTTGATTCCCAGGCACAGTAAGTGCCTGGGCTGCAGGCCAGGTCCCCAGTTTAGGGTGTGCAAGAGGCGACCAATCAATGTTCCCCTTGCATGTCAATTTCTCTCTCCTCTTTCTCCCTCCCTTCCCCTCTCTCTAAAAGTAAATCAATAAAACAAATAAACAAATAAGTAATATAATAGAAACCTAAACAACAAAACAAACAAGCAAGCAAAATATAACCAAAGACACTGAGGGAGAACAGGCTGACAGTGACCAGAGGAGAGAGGAGAGGGAATTTCAGGTAGAAGGGGGAAGGGTTTACAGGAACAAGTATAAAAGACACATGGAGCCCTGGCTGGTGTAGCTCAGTGGACTGAGCACGGGACTGGGAACCAAAAGATTGCGGTTCAATTCCCAGTCAGGGCACATGCCTGGGTTGCAGGCCAGTTCCCAGTAGGGGCCAGTTCCCAGCAGGGGATGCACCAGAAGCAACCATACATTGATATTTCTCTCCTTGTCGCCTTCCCTTCCCTTCTAAAGATTAAAAAAAAAAAAAAAAAAAAGACACATGGGCAAAAACTAAGGCAGGGGGGATAGGAGAAAGGGAGGTGGGGAGGGCTGGGATGAGAGTAAAAGGCAGAAAACTGTACTTGAACAATAAAGTTTTATAAAGGAGGAAAAAAAAATAAACAAACAAACAAATAATAAAAGCTAGCTCCTGAGAGGAAAATAAGATGGCTCACTTTCTTCCTCTTTGGAAATGTGTTGGGGGTCTGAGGCTTCATCTTCTTGGATGGAGGGGTCTCTGTCTCCACAACAGCCTCATTCTTCTTCCGCTTCTTTCCTGAACCTACAAAACAAAAAAGCCAGACTCAGGAGGCCAGCTTCCTCTTCCTCTACCCAGGCTGCCACACTGAGGGCCTGCAACTGAAACCCAGTTCTTTTGCCTCCTCCCTCTACCCCATCCCCCAAGAGCATGCATCCCACCCTGACTTTGAGGGGGGGGGGATTCAGGGGAACCCAGGGAGCAGCTTCTTTGGATACAGACCTGGTTTAGAAACCGCTTCTGCAGCCTTTGTCTTATCTTCCTCCTCCTTGCTGCTGTTCCTATATGCTTTTCCATTCTGGACAGTCTGTGCAGGGTTGGTTTTGGGGGCTTGTGGTCTAGGAATACCCTTGCCCTTGGGCTTCTCTTCTTCCTCCTCCTCACTGGAGTCATCCGAAGAAGTACTGCTGTCCTCGGCCTTTACTGTCTTTGTGGAGGCTGGCTTGGAAGGGGCTACAGCTCCCACTCTCTTCTGTGGCTTTTTAACTAGGGGTTTGGGTTTAGACGTCTTCTCTTCCTCCTCCTCCTCCTCACTGCTGGAGCTGTCTGAATCAGAGCTGCTCTCCCCACCACCCTGAGAGGCCTGTTTGACAGGCAAAGGGAGAGCTGCTTTGGCCATCACCTTGGACTTAGTGGTGGCCACAGTCTTCTTTACCTTCTCCTCTTCCTCCTCTTCCTCACTAGAACTGCTCTCCTCCTCGCTGGAGCTGCTATCTGCCTTTCTGGTCAGAGGCTTCTGGCCACTGGCTGCAGGCTGCTTGGGAGTTGAGGCTGATTTAGCTGCAGGCTGCTTGGGAGTGGCAGCGGCCTTACTTGAGGGACTCTTGGTGGTACTGGCTGGCTTGGCAGGAGCCTCATCCTCAGAACTGTCGGAGTCTAGGCAAGAAGAGGACAGAATGAATGGCTCTTCAAATCAGACTCAGGAGAGCCCTCAGGGCACCCACCGCCCTGAGGGCCGCCACTCGACTCACCTGAGCTGTCCGAAGAGCTCTCTGCCTTCTTCACCGGAGCTGGTTTAGTGGCTGCTTTAGAGGTGACTGCCTTAGCTGGCGGTTTCTTTTCTTCTTCAGAGCTTGAATCTGGAGAGAACCTATACATTAGGTGGGCCGAGAGTCCCAACCCAACCCAACTACGAGCAATAAAAAGAAAGGTATGCGGTCCACAGAGCTTTAGCCGTCTTGCTTCAGTGAGAAGAGGGACAGAGCACATGTGTCTTCTTATTCCTCAAACGCTCCTCAGACCCACTCACCACCGGAGATGACTCACCAGACTCATCACTGCTGTCGTCACTGCTCTCCTCGGGCTGTTTCTTCTCTGCAGCTTTCTTGGGAGCTTGGGTTCCCAGGGACTTCTTGGGTGGGGGAGCAGAAGGCGGGGGCACTGAACTATAGGGACCTGTTTAAAAGGGAGAATGTGGTGGTTTTAAAATATGTACCCAAATTCTTCAATACCTCTCCTTTTCCTGGACTGGAGCTTCATCCCGCCCCTGGAGTGTGGGTTAGAATTAGCAGGGGGGCTGATGTGTCATTTCTGAGTCTGGGTTATTAAAAACAACGTGCCTTTCCCTTTCCTCCGGGAGAAACCAGACTTCGCATCGAGCAACTCTACAGAGACTACACATGGTGACTAGAGGTCCTTCTGTATGTGGGCCCTGGTCACAGTCATTCAACCTGACCCCTCCATGTCCAGTCACCTGGTTTTTTCTTCACAGGCTTTTTCTGTTCCTCCTCCTCCTCTTCCTCACTGGAGGAGTCCTCACTGCTAGAACTCTTTTGGGTAGGGGTGGCAGCTGCTTTCACTGAGGCCTTGGCCACTACTTGCTTTTTAGGTACAGTCTGCATCATACAAGAAAATCAGTCACCACAGGAGAATGCTGACCCAGCCAATCCTACCGGGAAATGGAAACTGCCCCCTCCAGTCCCCCCTTCCCTGGGAGAAGTTATGGACCAGACCTTCTTAGAGATAGCCACAGCCTTTTCCTCCTCTGAATCTTCACTGCTGCTGCTGCTACTAGCTGCTTTGCCATTAGCTACTTTAGGTGTTGCTCGAGCGGGTGTGCCTAAGAAAAAAGAAACAGTGTAAAAAGAAAAAGAAACAGTGTAAAGTACTGAGAAATTAAAGGAAGGAAAAAACTGCCTTCCTATTAGCTCAGAACTTAGGAGGCTGTCAATTCTCTGGCCTTCAAGCTCGCATGAAGGAGATGAAGGAGACTGCACAAAGGATGTCTTTCCTGCCCGACTTCAGGAGTTAAAGTATTCTATCTTTTAAAATGATATGATGCAAGTAATTCAAATATGTCCTTGAAGTCTTTCACTCCAACTTCTAGAGAAGCTGCTATCATCCATAACCTAACCTTCATCACAGGAAAATTACAGAAGAAAATAAAACTTCTCACTTGTTCTATGGAATGAAGGTGCAGAAAGAAAAATGGGAGTGAGAAGCACAAAGAATAGAGATGTAAGTGGTCACAGTAAAACAGGGTTTGTGGGAATATAAAATGCCTATGGAATGCAACTAAAGAATGACAAACTGATACCATTTTTTAAAATACACTTCCCCTTGCTACAAACTGTTTCTCTAGTTACTAACCCCTAATTATAAAGTCTTTTGCTCATTAATGGCTTCTTTTTCAAAATGTAACATTAATCAGTACCTCCAGTTGAACACCAGTACCACTTCACCTTTGTGGTATATCAGCAATTTAAACACCCATCCCCAGAGCCAGCTGGTTCCCAGCCTGGCCTTTTGGAAAAAGAAGGAATACCTGGTTTCACTGGGGCTTTCGCCTGAGCTTTAGCTGCCACAGGTGTTGTCTTTGGCGTCTGGTTCTTAGGTGCCTCATCCTCTGAGCTTGAGTCAGAATCGGAATCAGAGCTCTCAGCCTTCTTAGGGGGAGCTTTGACCACCTTGGGTTGGGGCTTAACTCCCTTCTGTAAGAAAACACACAAGGAGGAGAGTCAGCAAGGGCTTCTGGGTACCCAGGGGCATCCTAAGGTAAAACATTTCCTAGGCTCCTCTTATTGTTTAGGGGGAAAGGGAAAACTAAACAGGGCAGCATATGAAGAGGATAACAAAGTGTTAGTAAGAAACAAAAAGTTCAGCCCCATGGTCTATTGGCCCTGTCCCTGCCATTCCCTGTCTGCAGCTCCCAACACTGCCTACAAAACATGCTCCCTCACTCCTGGAGTCCTAGACAGTGTCCCAGAAAAACCCAATACCTCTAGGGAGGCAGGTGGATTGATTTCCTCTAGATTCAGAGTCTACCTTCACCCTCACGTGCCCTTGCCAGACCCTGTACCTCTATCACCTCTCTGAAAGGTTCCCAGACTTCCTGCCTCTTATCCATTTGTCCACCACCAACCAGGGCACAAGCTGGAACCTAAGATTGTAGGTTTCTTCTCTCTGATCCCTTAAGCGACCCTTTTCCTTCCCAAGCTGCAAACCTGGACAGGCCTTTTCTTTTTGTCCTCTTCCTCCTCATCATCACTGGATTCTTCACTGCTGCTACTCTCCGATGCTTTGGCTGCATCCTTTCCAGGATGCTGAAGCAGACTGGCACGCTTGACAGGTACAGCTGAACAAAAGCACAGGTACCACTAAGAATCAGCTACGTAGGAATAGGCAGATTACAAATCCTTTGCCTGGAACTGCTAACCCCAACTCCTGCCCTGCCTTACCAGCCTTCTTAGCTGGAGGCCCTTGGGCTTTTTCCTCCTCGCTGCTGTCTTCACTGCTGTCACTGGATGAAGCCTTCTTAGCCTTCTTAGTCACCGGCCCATTTGCTTGTAACTTCCGTTTTGGAGCCTTGGTGGACCTGCTGAGGTAGCTCAGGCTAACTCCTAGGTGATCAGGACCTTTCCAAACCAAGAAACACAGCCCAACCCACTTGGGGAAGAAAACAGCCAGAGTGGTACAGGGAAGACTTACTTGAGCCAGAAGCTATAGATGTCCAAGAGGGAACAGGCATTGGCATCCTGCTGGGTCTGTCAGAGAAAAATAAAGATCTGGGTAAGAAAATTTTATCCTACTTATTCCAAGGGAGATCAGACTTTGTGTCTCCGTCTTGTTAATAGGAATCCGTTTTTAGCCCTGGCCAGGTAGCTCAGTTGATTAGATCATCATCCTGATATGCGAGGGCTGCAGGTTTGATCCCCAGTCAGAGCAAATGTGAAAATCAACCAATGAATACATAAGTAAGCAGAACAACAAACTGGTGTTTCTCTCTCAAAATCAATCCATAAAAAAACTTTAAGTGACCTGTTTCATACAATTTCCTATGACTTCTCCTACTTGTACAAATTAGGGGGAAAATATTTTACTTACCTATCTTCCAATATTCGATATCAAAAACTTAGGCTACTTTGGGTTTCTGACACCATCTGTTCCTCGCCTGTCAATCCTATTTATAAAACCTTTTTAAATGTGTGTCCCTTTTACTCTAGCAATGTCATTACCCAGGAATTTATCCTTACCCATGAGACAGGAGTGCACAAACATTTATACTAAAGAATGCCTGCTGTCATGTGGTTTATAATATTAAATCATTGGAAATCAACTTCCAAAAGAAGACTGGTAAAAAAAGCTATGTCATATATACAGTACAGAATTTCATCCAGCTACTAATCACACCGATAGATATGGGTTTTTTAAAGGTTTTATTTATTTATTTTTAGAGAGAAGAGAGGGAGAGAAACATCAATGTGTGGTTGCCCCTTGCACGCCCCACACTGGGGACCTGACCTGCAACCCAGGCATGTGCTCTCTGACTGGGAATCAAACCTGTGACCCCTTGGTTCACAGGCCAACACTCAATCCATTGAACCACACCAGCCAGGGCAACACTGATATACGTTATTAACTGGTACAATGAAAATGGCAAGGAATTGCAGTACACACACACAAGGGAACAGGCTCAGAGTTAGATGAGTAGAGATGTAAAACTCACTTCTGGCCAGTTACTATACTGGGTGACCATGAGCAGACTGCCTAATTTTTCTGAAACTCTTCCTCTGTGTAAGATGGAAATAATACTATACACCATATGTTGTTGAGAGGGTAAGAGAAAAAGCATACAAAGGGTTTACCATCTTGAAATATCACAGGGCCCTTACTAAGCCTGCCACGAAGATTAATTTTTGCCACACTGAAAAAAAAAATCCTGATTCTGAAATGCCTGATTTCATCCAGACCATTGAAGAAAACACTCTTTGCAGCCTCCCTCCCTCACAGTCAATTTCAAAAAGTTCCAACACGAAAGCAGTTATATCTGGTCCCATGGCAGGCTACGGTAGCTCAAGGAAGTCCTTTTTGAGGCTGATTTGACTCTCTCCTTGGGCACCCTGATTCTGCCACTAAGAAAAAAACCTATCTCCGTGGTCAAAGACCAGGATTGCCAAAGACCCCCTACCTTCTCTAGAGGTGTCTGCCCATGAAATCATGTCTGCTTTTGAGATTTAGATTCCAGACTTTTCACATTCTTGGTCATCTTCATTTTATATGTCTTCAGAATATCCTAAGGTACCAAAACTATGATAACAACTTTTATTCATTGACGTTTTCTGACCACTAGGCACTAGGATTGATTGGCACATGGTACATATCCTATTCCTGAAAGTCACAAAAATCCTATAAAGTGGATGGCGACATCTCCACAGAAATAGGAACAGACTCAGTTTAAGCAAACTGCCCTGGCCATACATTTTTAAATGAATGGCAGAGCTTGGCCCCAAATCTATACGTATTTGATTCCACAAGTCAAAGGTCCAAGCTCACTAATATAATACTGTACATCATATGTTGTTGAGAGCATAAGAGAAAAAGCATACTGCACAGTAGGACTCTGATACTCAATGCTGCCTCAGTATAGATAAAAGCACAACCCTACCTCTACTCTCGTTCATTTTCTTCTTTACTACTGAAAACCCCACCTTTCTAAATTGAGTTTCCACCAAATTTGATTGAGAGTCAAGGTCAAGTCACGTTTTGCACCAGTCAAAGTAAAAGCAAAAAAAGGAACCAGGAGCTTCCAAAGCCTCCAACGGGACTGGACAGTCCCAAACGCACTCTGCTAGCCACGTGATCTGGGCCACGCGGATGCCACGCTGCCGCTACTGCGCTGCTCACCAGTAAAAAAGCAACAAAACTCAATCAGCATTACCTAGTCAGACCTCGCAGACTCCAGGCTTTCTCTGGTCACCACCGAGAACTCGGCACAAAGGCCCCGCAGACACTCGGCTGACGGACCCTTATGGACTTCTCCACCTGGAAAGCTAAGCTAAATCTGGGCCCTGGGGTCACCCCACCCCGGCTCATGCCCCAAGCCCGGGACTCACAGCGCCTGTTGCCTTGGCGAACTTATTGGCCACCTCTGAGAGCTGGTTATCACGCAGAAAGCCGAGCACGAGAGGATACAGATCGCTGGGAACCACGCGGCGCAAGCCGGCGTCCGCCATCCTCCGGGCAATACGCGTCACTACCGTCGCCTACGCACACGACTCAGGAACTCTGGGACCCCGAGAGGTGGGGACTAACCCTAGTGACGCTACCGCGCCGCGCGGGTGCAAGCGGAAAAGGAGGGGGCACAGCGGAAGAGGCGGGCGCACTTTCCAGGGCCGTCCCGCCTTCACCTAGAAGGCGGAGTCTCGACGAAGTCTAAGATTTGCTTTCCCACGAGTGTCGCCATCTTGGTAAGGGCGGAGCCCACTCTTTCACTCCGTAAAGTAACCTGACGTCAGGGGTCACGCCCTCGGCGTGGCGGGAAAACATCGAACTTCCGGCGCCAGTTTTTTTTGTGTGTGTTTGTTTTTTTACTTTACGGCAGACACGTTTTTCTCCCAGCCGCGGTTTACCTGGCCCTACCTGCGACTCGCATTTCAGAGGAGTGTACCTACGTACTCTCTAGACTTGGTAACAAGATATCCCGACCGCTCCTTACCGCTCTGCCACTGGATTCCCACCCTTCATCTTCACTGTCTCCCTCACTCACAGCGACCTTTTTCTCACATGCCACTCCAGCCTCTCTGGACTCCTTTCGCCTAAGATCCTTCAGATCATCCATGGTAGAGATGGGATGTTGATTCCCAAAACTGCCCCTTCCCCAGTCCTGTTTTGCCCATGCAACCCTTCCCCCCACTTACTCAGTCATAAGTCTGCTCCACGAAAGTAAAAGCGGTTGTACACCAAACCTGGATACAGCACCACAGTCCCGAAAATAACACTTCTACCGTCACAGTTCCTACAATGAACTCTCCCTATGGGAGAACTAGAAAATTACCTCTTCCTTTGTCATGAATACTTAAAATATTTAAATAACCCAGCCTGCCAGGTCAATTTCAAATTCTATCACTTTTTAATTCACATTAGCAGCAGACCTTCAATCCTACATACGACCCCTCGACTACTTCCAATCATCAATGCCCCTCAGGAAGGGTAAGGATGCTTTTCGAGGACACACATACGTACCCATTCCCCTCTCCTAGATGTAACTTCTATATCTCCCTCTGCCCCGGAGGTTTATCCATTTGTATGCATTCTTTATTTTTTAAGATTTTGTTTTTTAAAGATTTTATTTTTTAGAGGGCAAGGAGAGAGGGAGAGAAACATCAATGTGTGGCCACCTCTCGCATGTCCCAAATCGGTGATCTGGCCTACACCCCAGGCATGTGCCCCAACTGGGAACTAGCAACCCCTTGGTTCACAGGGCTGCGCTCAATCCACTGAGCTATACCAACCAGGGCAAGATTTTATTTTTAGAGGGGAAGGAGAGAGGGAAACATCAATGTGGGGTTGCCTTACACACCCCCTACTGGGAACCTGGCCAGCAACCCAGACTGGAAATGGAACCCGTGACCCTTTGGTTTTCAGGCCTGCGCTCAATCCACTGAGCTAGGCCAGCCAGGGTATATGTATGCATTCTTTAAACATGAGCAGCTGCTCTGTGCCAAGCATTGTGATCAAACTAAAACGGTACATGTACACCTGAGACTCAGTTTAAAAAAACTTTTACTCGTAACAAGTGTGAGCTTCCCTTAATATTAAAATGGCTTCCAGCCCTGGCTTGTGTGGCTCAGCAGATTTAACACAGGCCTGCGGACCAAAAGATGGACCGTTCTGTTACTGGTCAGGTCACATGCCTGGGTTAAAGGCCAGGTCCCCAGTTGGGGGCATCGCCAGAGGCAACAAATCAGTTTCCTTAACACATCAATGCTTCTCTCCCTCTTTTCCCCTTAAAAAACAAAATCTTAAAGCAAAAAACAGCCCTGGCTGATGTGGGTCAGTGGATTGAGCGTGGGCCTGTAAACCACAGGGTTACTGGTTCCATTCCCAGTCACTACACATGCCTGGGTTGCAGGCCAGGTCCCCAGAAAGGGGCATGGGAGAGGCAACTACATATTGATGTTTCTCTTCCTTCCACTCTAAAATAAAATCTTGAAAAAAAAAAAAACTTAAAAAATATAAAAACTTCAAAAATTTTCTATTAAAAAAAAATTTCCAAAACCAGCAGCATCAGCATTCCCTTGTTTGAAATGCAGAATCTCAGGCCCCAGAAGTCAAAAATCCCCTTTCTAAAAACATCTCCAGTGCTGGCTAGTGTGGTTCAGTGGATCAAGTGCTGGCCTGCAAACCAACAGTTGCAGGTTCGATTCCCATTCAGGGCACATGCCTGGGGTACACACCAACTCCCCACTTGGGGCTCATGAGGCAACTACACATTGATGTTACTTTCCCTCCCTTCCCCTCTCTTTAGAAATATTTTTAAAAATAAAATAAAATAAAAAGATCTCCAGACCCAGCTGGTGTGGCTCAGTGGACTGAGCATCACCCTCAGACCATAAGGTCACTGGTTTGATTCCCAGTCAGGAGACATGCCTGGGTTATAGGCCAGGTCCCCAGTTGGGGGTGTGCAAGAGGTAACCAGTCGATGTTTCTCTCCTTCTCTTTCTCCCTTCCTCCCCAGTCTCTAAAAAATAAATAAGTAAATAAGCAATGAAACATGCTGTTTAAGAAAAAATAAAATAAAAATAACTCGAAGAGATTCAAGTGCCCCTTTGAAGTTTGAGAAACACTGCTCTAAATGACTGATTTCACTTAACACACTTGAGAAGCCAAGTTTCAAGTCCAAGAGGATTTAGTATCTGACCAAAGAGGGGTCCTAGGAATTCAATGGAGGTAAATATGACCTAATTTGTGTTGGAAAAAAAGTGAGTGTGTCTGGCACTAACACCATAGAAAGAAAGAAGCACAACAGCACTCAGGAGTTCTAATTCATATTTATTAGTCTGCATAGTGACACAGGCCATCCAAACCCTGGGGGAACCCCTCAGCCTCATTCACCTCACACAGGAATGCAAATTAACTTGTTTCAATGCCTGTTATAAAAAACAAATACCCTTTTAAAAAATCTGATTTAACACAATTTTTATTTCACTTTTTTCATTTCTTTATAAAACAGTCCTCATCTCACTAGCAGCTCTCTCCCCTGGAGTGGGGGAGGGGAATGGAGATGGCTGGACATCTCCAAAGAAAAGGGGAAGGGGGAGAAGGGCCCAGGGTTACCTCCTGAGGTTCTTCTGGGCCTGTTTCAACAATGTGTCAAAGTCAAGAGAATCAAATTTGCTCTTTACAGGAGCAGGGTCAAAGTCTTCCCGGTTGGAGTCTATAAAGGTAGAGAGAGACAAACATCAAGGTCTCTGATCACACTTGCCAACCACATGGTCCTGATGGCCAGCCACCTCCCAACCCAATCATGATTTTAAGTCATCCCACCTCTTAGGTTCTTTGTGCATCAGATGAAGTCAAGTCTGCCTAGCCCACTCACAAAAGGCTGGAAACCCTTCCGGGAAAATCAAGTACACCAAAAAGCCTCAGGGCCTCCTTCCACTCACCAAGATCAGAATAGCTTCTCTTGCAGAACTGCCTTCGGCCCCCAAAGCAGAGATCAAAGGGCTGCTCGTCTGCCTGCCTCAGCTTGTGGCCACTTTCGATGGCTGCAAATGCCTCCTCAGCATAGCGGTAAGTGACGAAGCCATAGTTGTCACTAATGGGGAGGGTGAGGCAGAGGCTACTTGGACACATGCCACGGAGAAGAAACAGCCTCCCGGGGTACACAGAGGGACTGAGGGGATTCTTCTTGTTCCCCAAATAGCCCACTGAGTGGGAAAATGAAGTTGTCTGACACTGACTACCACACCCAAGCGAGGAAGAAAGACAAAGAAGCATCAAGGTCCATGAATGGGACAGAAGAGACATCCTGACCTTAGGGCCCAAGCTTACCCTTGGACACGGAAGTGGATGGTGCACTCCTCAATCTCTCCAAAAACAGAGAACCTCTGTTTTAGCTCTGACCGAGTCATTCGGCCAGGTATCTTCCCAATGAACACCACTCTTCTCTCTTCCTATGTAGGGTCAAGGAAAATTCACATAACCGTGAGCCAGGGCCAGAGCTACAGACTGCTCTGTGAGCACGTGGGTCAGGGGCAAGCTCCCTCCTTCCATGGCCTGTTACTCTACTCACTATTGCACGCTCCTTTTGCAGCACTCTCTGCCTTTGGTAATGGTCATGTGAACGATAAGAGCTGTACCTGACAAAAGAAGGTGTCATCAGCCCCCCAGACATAAGACAGCTAAGGTCTCAGAACTCTCAGGCACTTGTACCCCAGATGCACTGCCTCCCGGAACACACGCTCACCGCCGCCTCCTGTCACTTCTTCGGCGGGGGGATGGGGAGCGGGACCGGCTTCGGGAACTAGATGATGAGGATGAGGAAGATGAGGAAGAGGAAGAGCATCTTCGGGAACGTCCAGAGGAACTGCAACTGGACCTGGAAAATAAAGGGGCGTGTAGGAATGCTGGAAATGGTGCAGGTACATTCCACTTACTTCACCTTGGCTGCAGTCCTGCCTCCCTATCAGGAGGTTCAGGACTAAAGGCAAAGGAGAGCTGAAGAGGTCTAGAAAAACTTCTCACAGATGACCAAACTGAAGCCTTCATGAATTTTATATGTATCTGGAATGTTTTAGTGTTTTAGCATAGATCATATTTATTTTCAATTATGCAATTAAAAATTGGTAATATTTAACAAATCAGAAAGAAGAAAAATAAACAAACTCAAGAGATAATAGCCTCCTTAACTAAATGGGAAAAATTGGGGTCTGCTACCAAAAAAAAAAAAAAAAGTACTGCCAGGAAATAGATGAGGCCACAGGGATACCCAAAGGAACTGTCCAGACTCTTTCTTCAACAGAAGATTAAAAGGACTGTATGCCATTAACCCACAATCCTACCAGGAAAACACCAGAAATGAGGACTGATACAGTGTTCAAAGAAATCAACATGGTCAAGACCAAACCCTAATAACTTCCCCATGGCAGGTCTCAAGGAAGCAGACCTTGGGATACCCCAGACTTCAAGAGGACAGAAGCTATTTTCTCAGCTTGCCTCCTTCAACAATCTAGGGAAGTGGAAGACAAAAGCCAAAGACATAAACAGAAGTCTTAGTGCCTGAAAGTATCAAACCT